CTAGTAAATGCTAGAGCATTCTTGAAGGAACAGGATATTTCTAGAAACAGGTGGCGTGATACTAGTCACGTGACCACGCTGACGCAACAGTAGTCTTAATTTTTACTATAAGAAAAAGTTCACCTGCACTATACCATAAAATATCGCTTAGAATTAGGTATCACCAATGTATTTAAAAAATACGAATGTATATGACCAAATAAACAGATTTTTTAATATAACTGTTTGTGAGTTTATACGATAAAAAGAAGAGAAATATTGAAATTGCATTAAATACTATAAAGATTCTATTCATGAACATGGCTCTTAAGAGGGAAATAAGATAAGTGTTTCAACTCGGTGTATTTACATTAGTGTTCAAGCCCTGATTTCTTGAATAATTCTGTAACATTTTTATCAGTTTGATACACGTAGTAAAAGTGGGAGGAAGAGGTCTGAATAGAACCTCATCAACCCAGGTCGCGCCCAACGACTAAAATACCGATGAAGACAAGACGTCGAGAATATGACTTAGTCATATATCACAGCATGAGTTGAGTTCAGTGGATAACTTGTTGAAATCAGGATATCAGAGCATTATTTCATTAAGTAAAGATTTTATAATCGTTACAAGGAAATATTAAAACAATTCTGTGTAATAAGCAACGAGTTATACGAGATTTATTGCTTCGAAACCCGTTATGCAAAATAATGAATATTAAACAAGTCTTAAGTGTATTTACTGTGGAAATTAACCATATCAAATACAAAACTACAGTTAGCGTTTCATGTGATTAAGAATGTAATTTTTGCACTATTCTTGTTAAAGTTGAATCAATGACTATAGGAGATATAAAAGTGAAATAATTCTGTAGGTAAATTCAATCCTCCCAGTGTGTTTGAGCCAAATATTTTTACAATATAACTAACTTATTATTCCATATGCCTTTCTGTTAAACATGTTTTTTATGAGTTTTTTTCGCTACTAGTAACTTAATACTGATCATAAGTAAGCTAACTGTGCTCGCTTGTTCGTAAGAGATAAAATAAACATTACAGAAAGAAAACTCTTTTTATTTACGAATATCAAACACACCCGAATTAAAAAAATATAACGAACTAGTGCATCTTACGAGTAAAAGCAGGACGATCATATATTCGTCCATATGCGATACTTTTAAATAACATTAAATGTCACATTTATGTCATTCGATTACTCCAACTCTCTCCTACAATAACCAGAGAAAAATTACCATTACAAAAACACTTTAGGCTTTATGTCTTTCACATCTCCAAATATCCGTCATTTGATTCTCAATATTACAAAATTTTGTACTCAAACTGCAATATGAACACTTTTCATTTACTTTACGGGGAGCATTGACTGATAATGTTAAAATTATTATTTAACATAATCAGTCCAATGCAATATATGAAAAATGTACAATACTAACATACAGTGGTGTCGGAAAGTATGTGTATGTGTGTGTGGGGCAGCCAAACGAAAAATTGAGAAAAGTTTCTGAGGGAGTCAAGCACGATTTCTGTTAATCCAGTACATATATGAACTAATTCTTAGATGTCCATCGCATGATCACTTACTGTCAGAGTCCGAAATAAAATGTACGACATTATGAAATGAACTTCTGATGAAGTATGTGAGAGGTATCCCTATAATATATTTATATTTACAAAATAAAATCATAAATGAAATTATGAGATTTTAAATTTTATTTTAAAATAATTTTATTAACGTTTGTTTTGAAGGAAATAATTTTTAAAAAATCGAAACTTTAACCCTAATTGTCGATTTTTAGACTCCTGTTAAATGTTTATTCAGATTGTGGAATTAAATAGACGATATAAAGACGGAAATGCTTAGAGTTACAACAATATTAAGCGTACATTATTAAAAGTTTCGTTAAAAATCTCCCTTTTGTTGTTAAGTGTGGGAACAGGGCTCCCTTTTGAAAAAAATGGGTTGGTAATGGCCACTTGCGCTTGTCTCTTATGGGATGACAACCATGCAAAGATGGATAGTCTGGAAACTACTGAATTGTTTTGAAGTCACTGAAGATGTAGCATTTCCAAAACCAAAGATTTGTTTGTTTGTTTTGAATTTTGCGCAAAGCTACACGAGAGCTATCTGCGCTAGCCATCCTTAATTTAGCAGTGCAAGACTAGAGGGAAAGCAGCTAGTCATCGCCACCCACCGCCAACTCTTGGGTCACTTTTTACCAACGAATAGTTGGATTGACCGTCACATTATAATGCCCCCACGACTGAAAGGGTGAGAATGTTTGGTGGGACGGGGATTCGAACCCGAGGCCTGCAGATTGCGAATCGAGTTCCCCAACCACCTGGCCATGCGGGCCTCAAACCAAAGAAAGTTTTATACCAGCCTGGTCAAAGTATGGTTCCAGTTGTAGATTCCAGAAACTTCCTGCTACTTATCAATCCACAGTGAGATTCTTGTCAAATGCAATTTCAGAGTACTTTAAACTGTCGGAACCATGCGCCTCATGGGTGTTAAATGCAAATAAAGCTAAAATGAGCAAAATTGTGATTTTAAAAGAAATGTCAAGACTGGTACCACATTGTATATTTAGAGAAACGTGGATTATTCACGTTTGTCGAAAACGATACTAGGCATGTCAGCATACAAGTATAAAATATGTATACAAATAAATTATATGTTAGGATTTTATTTGTCTAAGTTAAAACATAGTTTATTCTAAAATGATATTAATACATATACGATAAGTGGTTTTGCATCTTAATATCGGAAATTGCAATCCATTTTTAAAATTAAATCTAAACGTGCATCTCACTATACATTGGCCCTTTGATACCAACGATATACAAAACTGGAAGACATAATTACCAACATACTGTCATCTGGTTATGTTGTTCGAATTTTTAAAACTATATTCTTACAAAGTTTCTAGTGCACACTGGAGGGATTTACACATTGTGATAAAAGTTTAGATAAACGACCTTTACACTCCAGATGTAAAAATATATATATATATATTTATTACTACCAACGTTTCGCTGTTACAGCTTCTTCAGGGTTAATACATACAAACTGTTTGATATTGAAGTATACGTTAACTTATAAAATTAATTGTGATGTTCCATCTCTCGAGTCTGTCGCACGTGTCTCCAACAATGTATAAAATATCATTGTGGTTTCGTTATTGTTCTGATATTGTATACTAATATGACGTAGCTATACTAACATACGACATATATTACTAAAATAAAATATAAAAATAAAGAGAACCGAAATATGTTTTATGATTAACTGAAAACACACAGACAGAAAATAGAAGTTGCTGAGAAACAATAGCAAGTGGAAAGGATTCGAAATTTACTAGAACAATAACGCCCCCAGTGGCACAGCGGTATGTCTGCGGACTTACAAAGCTAGAATCAGGGTTTCAATACCCGTGGTGGGCAGAGCACAGATAGCCTATTATGTAGCTTTGTGCTTAATTACAAACAAACAAGCATAGCCAGGGGAAAAAAAAGAACGTTTTCACAACAAAAGAACAGGCATTTGAAACAAACTGCTGTTTTATTAAAGGTGATTGTGCAAACCCTGAAAAAAGAACATTGAATATCCACCAATGGTTTCAATATGCTCAACAGCACCTTTTCTGATACTCATTTAGAAATTTTGAAAAGGACGTTGTTTATTAATTATCAGGATAAAAAATTAACTTGCAAAGCATAACCTCCACTTCTTTTATCTTTTGCCTTGACACTGCAGTTTTACTCCACCAAAGCCTACAATTTTTAATCCGTACTTTCAATCTTGGTCTACCATGATCATCTGTTATTCAAAAATGGTATCAAAGCATTAATGGGGTACAAGATTTTACACAAGATGCATTTAATACATTACAATAAGTGGCAAAAAAAGGAAAGAACCAGTAAAGTTATTTGAGCATTAATGGAAGATGAAATTGCCGTGAAGTGGGATGGAAAGAAATTTCTTGGTTATGTTGATGTAGATATAGATGACGATACAACTCCTCTTGCCAGCATTATTGATGTTTATAGTTGTCTCTCTAAACAGCAACAGGAAAGTGTCTGTTGGCTAGTTCTTTATTAATGGTATGTAGCTTTGTGCTTAATTACAAACAAACAGAACAATAACGAAACCACAATGATATTTCATACATTGTTGGAGACACGTGCGACAGACTCGAATGATGGAACATCTCAATCAATTTTATAAATTAACGTACCCCCAGTGGCACAGCGGTATGTCCGCGGACTTACAACGCTAGAAACCGGGTTTCGATACCCGTAGTGGGAAGTGCACAGTAGACCATTGTGTAGCTTTGTGCTTAACTTCAAACAAACAATAAATTAACGTATACTTCAGTGTTAAACAGTTTATATGTATTAACCCTGAAGAAGCTGTAAAAGCGAAACGTTGGTAGCAATAAAAAACAAATATATTTATATCTGGAGTGTAAAGGTTCTTTATCTAAACTTTTATCACAACTATATTCTTAGTTATTTCTTGATTGCTGTGCAACTGTTAATTAATTAACCCATCCAAGCAAATATATGCTGATCTTAACGTTTTTCTAATATTACAGGAAAACTGTAATAGATTTAGAAATAACTTTCTCTAATTATTTAAAGGGAGTGTTGGTGTAATCGAATGATATATAAAATGTGAATTTAGTTCCACAACCGGGTAATAATATTTGTGTCCGACTTTTACTCGATTCTAATCTTATGTGCTAACCATAAATAATATTAACTGTAATGTTACCTGAATGAAGACATATTGAAAACAGTTTTGACATTCGTGGTAGTTAAACATGTTTTCGAATACTCAAAATTTAGTTTTTAACCGAACTGAAAAGTTTAACGTTAGTTTCAATACTGAAATGCCAATTTTCCAAAATATGCACATGGAAAAATTTATATGAATTAATTGGATGACGTACGTGACGAGAGAGGGGTTTTTCCCCGCGATGATTGGCACGTGGAGAAAGTGACGTGTAACTAGTTTTGTGAGATAGAATTAGTATCAGTAAAGTTACGCATTTATATATACTGAGTCCATAATAGTGCAGTACATACAGAACGAGGTGAGTTGAGATTTAATAAGCAAAATTGTCATATCACTGTGTATTACTATTACAGTTTATGTAAATCACATAGCAGTTATTTAAATTAGGAAGAAAGGACATTTCTAATTTATAATTAATTAAATGCTTTTAATTTTATGCCAGTCTTTCTATCCCAATACTACATTTTTTTTTGCCCAGCCAAAAGTTATTTGTTCACTATCGGCTGAAAACATTCAGTACAAAATGTAATAATTGATACAGTGATAGTGATACTGACGTGACAATAACTGAATCAGTAAGTTGAAATTAACATCTCACGAAACAATAGGGTAAAGTTCGCAAGGACGACATATATAATAGCACTTACTAATTGGTAATATTATTTTCTATGAGTGTTTTAAATTCATAATTTTTTCTTGGTATTTGAATTTTTAAAATCGAAAACTAGAAATTAATATTGGATGAATATATATATATATACGCACGGGCCCTTTATTTTAAATCAGTTCCGAATTTACAGTACTTGAGGAGTATCACATTCAGTTGTCGTTTTTTGCTTACTTATCC